GACAGGGCCCAGTCTGGGCCTGGCAAATTCATAGAAAACATGGGAACAGTGCGCCCCTCTGAATCAAGGTAGCTTTTGACTATGATGCGTAAGTCCATTGGTTGGAGAGGGAAGCCATAGTCACTGCACTGAAGAGTCCTCTTCACTATAAGCGCCTCCTCTACCGGTGAGAGAATAGTCTGTCTTCCAGGACTAAGCACAGTTTTTCCATGCACTCTGTTGAAAAGAGCACCCTTACCAATGCCATACTGACTCGCAGCTTTTGTCAAACTTAATTCCTTGTCTTTGATCTTCTGCACTACTTGATCAACAAAATCTCCGCTGTAATTCTGGTAGGTACGAGCCCCCTTCGAACGTTTGTAAGACCTAGGCATGTTGAACTAAGGTCAATACTTAAAAGATACACCAAGTTTAAACTCTATATCTAACAATAATTAAAGTCTGTAGAGTCTGAAACATAAAGAAAATACATTAATAGGTGTAGTAGACATAAAATATGTTGTATATGGTCATTTAAAATTAATTATTAAGCCGGTCAATGTTACCCCGTCATGGCTGCCATTGGGTGGTCAAAGTTACCCCATTGGGGGGCATCGCCCCCCATTTGCAAACTATGACACTTTCCTAAAATTTTTCATTTGCATATATAACTAGAGGAGTTCGACCACAATGCATCAAAACTTGGAGTAATTTCGGCAATAAATAAAAAAATTGGAGGGGGTACTCCGACAGGCTTTAAATAATAGCTTTTTTTCGTGGGTCACAATTTTACTATTAGATATGCAAACTTTTTAAATTTTTCTATTGTGTTATGTAGCCTCAGTGTAAGGCCTTCAATGCCCATTGACAAAATTTTTCTATTCCAAATAGTTTTTGAGTTTTGGGGGTTTTTGTTAAAAAAACGAAAAGTGGTCAAAGTTACCCCGGGAGTCAAAGTTACCCCAGTTTACGGTACAGGGTGTGCCAGAGGAACTTACTTATTTGAAATGTCAATAAAATAAAGTACTACAAGGACTGTTTAAAATTTTTTTATTTGAGAATACAATTTCCCATTTTTTTATATAGTCCTAAAAATTACATCAGATTAATGGCAACCCACATTGCGCTTACACTGATGAAGTCAATTTTTTTATATTCGTATCCACTCTGCAACATATCAATCGGTATGTTGGCAATGACGTCGTGAATGTTGTTATCTAGGCGTGCTTATGGTCCATGTTCAATCGACATAAACCAGAGATTTCAAGTAACCCCATAAAAAGAAATTGCAAGGAGTCAAATCTGGAGAGCGTGGTGGCCATTGGAGATCGCCTCTGAGAGAGATGAGGCGGTCGGGGAAATGTTGTCGCAACAAATTCATTGAGTCTCGTGCTGTGTGTGTGCTGTGGCTCCATTTTGCTGAAACCACATGATGTTCATTTCTTGGAGACTTGGAAAAAATTTCCTCAATCATGTTGCTGTAACAAGCTCCATTAACGGTAACTGCACGTTTGTTTTATGAAAAAAAAATAAGGACCAATTATTCCCATTATCAACATCGCACACCAGATGGTAACTCGCTCACAGTTGAGTGGCTTCTGGTGAAGCTCACGTGGACTTATGCCACACCAATAATGCATGTTTTGCTTGTTGACGCAGCCAGAAATGTGGAAGTGAGCCTTGTCACTGAAAAAAAGACCGTGTCTTCAGGCAGGTTGTCAACCAGCATTTCACATGCAATTTGACGGGCAACAAAATTGCGTTCAGTTAATTCTTGCACAACAGCAAATTTATTTAAGAAACAAACTTGGGAACCTTCCCCTTTGCTTCCCCTTGGGAACTTTCCCCGCTAATGGCTCTTGCCCCTCTACCCGCAAAACTCGCCGCGCAGGAATTTTTTCAAATAAGCAAGTTTCTCAGGCGCACCCTGTATGATGGGAAAGAGACATTGTAAATAATTCGACTGTCAGTTCATGACGGGCGGCATGGTAAAGGCGAACTCAATTGGGGTAAGAAATAATATGTGGCCAGTGGTTGGCCTAGTCCAATTAGTTATAGCTGACCATTGGGCATTCCTTGGCATTCCTTGAAAAGCAGACAGTAAAGTATGGCACAACATTGGTCAACACTGCTAAATTCATCACCCCAAAGATCAAGTACAATCCAGGCAGACACTGATTACTAATTGTTTCTCCATCAATTGTATTTTATGATGAATATGGCCAGTGGGCGATGATTGGCCAGACATACCTATGTGCATTGTGAATGCTACATACAGCTGATGCAGGAAGATCTCCACAGGCATGTGGGCATAATGATTGATACAGCTGATGCACAATGATCAGCACACACATATGAGAAAGAATTGTAATCAAAATGGTTGATGTGCAACAATTGGAACCAATTCATGCCCATTAGAATCATTTAGTGACCCATCAATCAAAACAAGAGGGAGATGCATGTAATGATGGTTCTGATGATTGATTTGTAGTCTGTGGTTGGTCACACATGCTGATTTAAGGTCAAGATGGCTGATGTAGAGATGCCAATATCTGTCTAAAAGGACATATTTTACAGCATGGGTTAAAGAGACCATGTAGCTATACTGCATTCAGACATGACTGCAACATGGATTGGAAAATTTTTATTTTTTAGAAAATATTATTGCTCAAATATCATTATTTTGGTAGTCATGAATTTTACAGCTCTAATGTAATAAATTTTGCTTTGATTGACAATATTGCAGCTCACAAATGTATCATTTGTCTTCACACAAACTACTGTGGTTCAGTGGCACATTCCCACCAAAATATTCTACAGAATGACTACACCAATACAATGATGGTGTGTACACCCAAGGCCAAGGTTTTGTTGATGGTTGCACAGCTGCAATTGTATTGGACAACATTATAACCGTTTCTTCCATTAGAATGGACTTGATTCATGATAACTTGTTTTATTTGTTCAAAGTTCTAAAGTGAAGAAAAATGTACCTAGTGCTATTTCTTGTTAGCACTAGCACTGTTGTATAATTGAGGTTTAGTATAAATTTGAGGTTTCGTATAATTTGTTTGCATAGCTTGACAGATGAGTTGGCGGCTCAGAAATGGCTCTATGCAACCAGGAAAATATTGCATTGCTCAAAACCTGGAAGGTATGAAGATGGTTTTCACACTTTACTACAGCTATGAAATCATCAACAAAACATCTTGGGTGCAGTCATTGTGCTGGATATTTTTGGCAGGAGCATGGTACTGAACTGCGCAAGTTTGCAATATCATCAAATGATACATCTGCATACCCTGATTTTTTCAAAGCCAAAAAATTTCACGCCTGTCAAAATTATGTGATACTATGAGCTGCCATATTTAAAAAAAAAATTGGATTTTTGCAATCCTGACTTTAGAGCTGCAAAATTTCATACCCACTAAAATAATGATATTGGAGTTGAATTATTTTAGAGAAGGTAAGATCTTTCCAATCCTGAGAGATAATTCACCTAGTGGAAATGTGGCTCTGAAAATTGTGGTAAGTCCATGATCACAGCTTGGAAGGTATGTTCTATTCCTGGCTCTGAAGTGGAATGTTTTGGATAAATTTTAAATGTGATGGTCCTGTTATGCAAGATGCAAGTTTATTGACAATGATGGGTAAGTACTGTCAAATGGGGTAATAAGGGATGGGCGGGGTAATAAGGGACAGTCGTCCCACATTTTGTAGAAATGTTGTAGCAGCTAAACTAATCAAAATATTGCAAAACTAAAAATAGTGGTGGAAAATTCAACATTTTTACCATTTATGTAGCATAAAGTAAGTTGAAAAAAACGTTTACTACCACTAAAAAATCCCTGAATGGAAAAAGTGTGAAAAGTGAGATTTTGGAAACGTACCTCTACTAAGGTCTGTGGGAAAAAAAATATCCACCATATTAGAACATTTTTTACTTACATAAAAGTTGCACACAGGTGCATGCTTAAAAACGAGATTGACAGAATTTGCATATCTCGTTCAATAAAAAAAAATATAACACAGTACTCACTGCTGTGCGTGACAGCGCGCATTTTCTCATTGACAAAAACGTGAAGTCATGGAAGGACAGACAGATGGACATGGCAAGCACAATAGTGCATTTTTTTCCATAAATGAGAAAATGTGCTGAAAAGGTAAAAGGTATCAGAGGACCAGGTAATAAGGCTCACCCCTTGGGGTAATTAGGGACACCTCTAAAAACGCATTTACAGTAGAACCTTGATTAGCAAAGGCTCCAGTTAATGAAAAAACAATTAACAACAAAAAATTCTGATTATTTTTATCTTGCATAGCGAAAAAAATTTTCACTTTACAAAAAATTAATGCATCATCGTTCATCACAAAATTGTGCATAGAATGTCATAGATACCGGGTATAGGTAATTGTGCACCGGGCAATGTAAAATGAAAAGTAATTAGCTTGAACTATGATTTATTCCTCCAAAAAATGTAAATAGAAATAAATAAGATTTAATACATGTTATTTATTACATTCAACTAATGATATTTGACCTGAAACACAATTGTGGGATTACTAAATTTCATCAAGTTATTGAATTAATTAGAAATTTGATCAACCCACTGTTCCATTATTGCGCTCCAACTTTTTAGCAAGATTTAGACTCTTCTTAGAAGAAGTTTAGCACATTGTAAGTTTGTAACTGTGATATTTATTTTCAAAAGTTCATTGTTATCACCTTCAGTTGATGGCAGTGAGAAAGCCTAAGCAACTGATGTGCAGTTATTTTCCTTGCCACTCACTTCAGAGCTCTGTGGACTTATTCTGGTTTACCATGTTGTTTTGTGCTAAGATAGAACTAGTTGGCAGGTTTTTGTCACTCTGAAAATGTATGAGAAGTTTGTTGAAGGAATTGCCACACTGCCATCTTTTAGATTATTTTTATGCCACTATATTTGTAAAATTTACATTGTGTAATTTTCTATATATCTTGCATATTCAATACCTTTTAAATGAGATTTTAAAATCTACAGCCGCACACCAATGAGGCCACGAGTGCCTCCTAAGCCAAATACTCTGGAGCATCTTCAGCAAAATTCAGAGCAAAACAATAATGTGAAAAATGCAGGAGGCCAGGACCCTGTGGATGTTTACTGCCGCATTCGTCCTGTGGATTCGCTGGAAACTTGCGTCAGCGTTGTTGACTCTACCACTCTCAAAGTATGTTAGATTGTTTATATTAATCATCAGAGTGAATCGATTGTATGATGATGGTCAAGAGCTCAATACCTAAGCAAAAACTATTTTGGTTGGTGAAAAAAGGTTTATTGCCTGCAGTGTAAATACTATGAAACCTCATTATGACACAGATGTGACTTCCTCATTATTGTTATTCATATGGAATATATGTTGAATGAAAATTTGATAATAATAATGGTAATAATCAATTTTTAATTTTGCAGATCAGTCCACCAAACTCAATTGGACGCTCTGGTTGTGGCAGGGAACAACAGTACCGATTCAAAGAGGTCTTTGGACCTCAGACTGGGCAGAAAGAAATATTTGACAAGGTTGCTAAGCCATTGGTTGCAGATCTTCTCAATGGCAAGAATGGTCTGCTCTTTGCATATGGTGTCACTGGATCAGGGAAGACTCACACAATGCAGGTGAATTAGGTTATCCTCTTACAATTTTTTTTAGATTATCTATTTACACTTCAAGTTCTCATTTTCCATTCATTACTGAGAGACTGTTGGATCGTTCATTAGGCTTAATATTTGTGCCTTGCACCACTTATGGAACCAGTCTTATAATTCCTGCCTTGAATATATTTTTCAGTCTGTGAAATAGTTGCTTCAGATTCCTCATTCTGTGCAGGGTTCTGCCAAAGATGGTGGCATAGTACGACGCACATTGGATGTGATATTCAATAGCATTGGTGAGTGGCAGTCCCAGCGCTACATGCTGAAGCCTGACCACCTCAATGGTTTTGAAATCCAGGCTGATGCTGATGCCTCGTCTGATAGACGGCAATTCGATGCTGCATCCAATATTCAAAAAGCTTTCTCCAAATTTAAGAATCCTAGACCTAAGTAAGTGCTTTTAAATTGTTCTTCTAAGTGTATTGCTTCATTTTCTTGTTGTTTAAATCACCTAAAAAAAACAGTTAAACTTTCCTCACTGAAGAGGAGCTCAGTAGAATGTTTTAAATAAAAGTTGCTATCATAATAGACACTAAAGCTGCAGCATCATCCGTGTAAGATATTTGTAGAGTTGATAGTCGTATTGGCATCAGTTATTTCTAATCAGAATGTTTGTTTGCTCAGACGTAATGCAAGCAACAGCTCTTCCAGCAGCAGCTCTGACCGTGTGCCAGAGACCACCGTCATTGATGGCCTCAATGAAGACAACGTTTATGGAGTCTTCATCACCTACCTTGAGGCCTATAATAATTACATCTATGATCTCCTGGAGAATATATCTGGTGTAAATATGACCAAGTAAGAATTAAATTACATTATATCAAGGTAATGGAAATAATTCATTCTTTAAATAGGAAACTGTACCGGTATTTACTTTTTGTTTGCTGAAATAAAATTTTGAAATTTGGTTCCCTGATGCTCTTATCATCCTGTAATCCGTAGCAAAGAATTGCCGAATTTTTTTCTGTTTTTTTTTTTATTCTGTATGTGGCCAACTGATTGTTGACATAATTCTTGTTTTCAATTTGCCAAAGGAGTCTCCAAACCAAAATTTTACGCGAGGACGGTCAGCGCAACATGTATGTGTTTGGTTGTAATGAGGTTGAAGTGAAAAGTCCTGAAGAGGCTTTAGAGCTCCTAAGCAAAGGCCAGAAACGCAGGAAAGTTGCGCACACCAGCCTCAATGCTGAATCGTCCCGATCTCACTCCATATTCACCATCAGAGTTGTTCAAGTAAGGCAGTTCTTGGTAGAGAATTTGATCTCATGTGCACACTAACAAGGGTGTCAACTGTGCATCATTATGATTATTTATTTTAAATTATTTACCTTACATTTGTTGAGTTTTGGACGTTTGGTTTGAATTTTGAATACCGTTTTGAAATGACATGCAGTCATAGCTTTTGTGTCTCGCAATCGTAGAACTTCTCATTAAACTTAAGGCTACAATTGTTTATTTATGTCATTTTATGTAGAATAAACTAATTTTTGGTTTCCTAATCTATGCTTCGGTCATGTTTGCAGTGCCCATTAGATGAGCAAGGGGAAGATGTGCTGACGACCGTACCGCTACGCATATCTCAGCTGTCTCTTGTAGACCTGGCAGGGTCAGAACGTACCAGCAGAACAGGCGCTGCAGGGCTAAGAATAAAGGAGGCTGGTAAGTTTCTGTTTTAGCTGAGACAAACGTGGAACGATCAATCGTATTTTCCTGTTAACATTAATTAAAACTTTGTTTCAAGAAAATATACAATCCATATTTTTTTCCATTAGGTAACATCAACAATACTCTAATGATGCTGCGCACCTGTATCGAGGTCCTGCGAGACAACCAACTCAACAACGCCAACCGCATGGTGCCTTACAGAGACTCGAAGATTACGCACTATTTCAAAAACTACTTTGATGGAGAAGGCAAAGTCAAGATGGTGATCTGCGTCAACCCTCTAACCTCTGATTATGACGAAACACTGGTAAGTCTGTGCTTATAATGTTCTTTGAAGACCTGATTGGGAGCCTCACTGAGTTTGTGTTTGTGATTTTATGTTGGTGCATTACTAATCAGTAAATTGTAGTGTCAGTATCACATTGTTCACAGAGTCATAGGCCGATTGGCTCCAAGAACAAGAATATTACTTTTCTTTATCATATAACACATACCGTATCCGTCCATTTTAATTTTATCAGTAGATTTGAACCTGTGCATCAGTTTAACATTACATCTATACGAAGAAGAATGACATGGGGCAAAGATGATGCTTCCAGTAATCTATTTATTGCGTTTCATTGCTTGATACAGAAGTTTCCCTTCGCTTCTATCCCTAACTATAATGTATTTTTTTCTCTTTTTTAGCCTGTGATGAAATTCGCGGAGCTGGCAAGTGAAGTCCAGGTACAACGATCAGTGGTGCGGAACGAAGTCATTGCTTTGCCCCCTGGCCGGCGCCGAGCTAACTTCCTCTTCAGAGAAGTCAGGAGAAACATGATCAATGAAGGATTCGACAAGGCCAAGGTGCGGCAGGTTGATCTAATATTATTCGATTGATTTGAATGGAATGAACTAATGTGTTGTTGCTTGTTCTCCAATAGTCCACTTTGATTATACTAAGTAGTTAATGACTAATATTCTAGTTTGTTGATGGGTAGTGAAGCTAAGTATTATTGTGTTGTGTTTTTTGATCTGCTAGGAACTTGATATCGACATCTCTCCGGTATACACGTTGAGCCCCGCGTGGCCGGACACATCCCTCTCAGATGACACGTGGCTTGAGACGCTCGCCAAACTGAAGAACTTCTTGAAGCGACGCATCGCTACTCGGGAGACATTGCTGCAGCAGACACGAGTGAAAGGTGCCTGGGAGGCTAGAAACATAACTTTTGCTTTGGTAGATGCTCCCCTAGTATTGATGTTCAGAATGTGCAGTGAATTTTGTTATTGATTCCTCAATTTTAGGTAATTTATTATATCTCTATTATTTGTCATGTTCAAACGGTGTGTTTTGAATTAAATGCGATGCATTTTATCACTTAATTCGTCGTTCTTTGTTGAAAAAGCAATGCATAACTTGGGATTCTTCTCTATAGATTGGTAAAAGATTGAGGAAACTTGGCGGTTATCACTTATTGTTGATTATTGTCCTTGTTTGAGTGATAAGAAGCAAGCCATTATTCTACTACCTACTACTTAGTCAAGGAAAGTTTTCTATCTCTAATATCCGATTTATTATTTCTGTCCACGTTTTGGATGCAGCATGTGATGTATTAACACACCTCGGTCAAAAAAATACTGGTGAGCTATTTTATCTTGATTGAAATTTGTTTAACTCTTTCCTGAACGAAGTTCCCCTCACAGTTGATTCGGTGTCGGAACGCGTTGCGACTGCAGAAGCAGAGAACCTGATGCTCCGGCAGAGTAACAGCAGCCTAAATGCCCTGCGAGCTGCGGAGGAGCGCAAGCTTAAGGAGTATGAGGCTCTCCTTCTAAATGCCGAGGCGGTCAACGAGAGTCTCTTTAACAACTACAACACGCTCGTTGAGGACTACAATCAGGCGGTACGTTTCAGGAAATTGTTAGTTGCAAGTGAGCTTGTAGTGAGCCATGTTTACTGTTAATTTCTTGAAGTTTAAAAAAAAACGTTTCTTTATTGGAACTCTAAACATTAATAGCATTGTTGCAGCTATGTAACCACTATAGTAAGTTAATTTTAAGTAATCTTGATGCTGGTCACTCATTAGATGCTCTTTTTTCATGTTTTTTTTCTCGTTTTCACAAAAACGTTATTTGAAGACATGTTTTCTTCTCCAGATAAGTCTGAAAAAAAGCGTTCATAATTAATACTAGTGTAATGTTGCCTTCTCGTCAACAAACATTGTCTTGTGTACATTCATTGGAATTTTCATTTTATCAAACGTCGATACGTTTTCAAGGAGTTATTGCCACGATTAATCCAGTCATTTTGTTGCAATGAAATGTCTGGATGACTCCAGACATTTCGTTACAACATCTAACATTCTTCTCGTTCACATATAACGCATTTTGACAAAATTTTACCGAGCCATGCATTATTTGGTGTTATACAGAGCTTGCAGCCATAAGGTGGCTGCGAGTCTAAGCTAGCACCTATAAAATGATTGATTGCTGAGTCTTAGCGTTTATTTAGATTGAAACGCTCGCTCAACGATCGTACAAGTCATTATCAACTACATCATTTCTCTTACTTTATCTTACTTTTACTGACATTTCCTGACTCTCTTTTGTTTCTCAAATCTATCCATCTTCGTGTCGTCTGGTGTTCTGTTCATGCTTTTTTTCAGTCATGTTCATAATGAGGCATTAAATTGTAAGTTGTGATGAAAAAGAAATTACGAGTCTCGCTCTTATGAATATTTGAGCTTCTAAGACGATGACGGATAAGTTTTCAACCTGAACGCTTACCTTCATCGCTAATTAAATTTTTATTTCTGCTCATTTTACAATGATTTCCGTTAACATATTTTGTCAGGTGGAAGAACGTGCCTTGGCGCAGAATCAAGGGCAACTTGAGAAGATGCGCATCAAAGCCAAGCTCACCAACAAACTTGAAATGCACAAGGAAAAGATTGACAAGGAATTCAAGAATAGACTCAAGGAACATCAGGTCAGTGACATAAACTAATGACGAGAATCTTGTATTTTGGTGGCTGGAAAACTGAATCTCACTGGAAGACGTGAATGGTGAGAGCTTATCTGCAGTTGCGTTCCTTCGAAGTTGATATTTTGTGATTAAATTTGTTATATCAGTTTAGTCTTAATGACATGTTTTATATTTTTTCAGTATTCATATTGGAACCTATTGCTGAATTTCTATGCTCTAAACGACTCTGAGTTGAAACGCTCCTTTTGCTATGCACAGTGTTTGAAATGTTTTGAAAAGATTTTCAATATACATCTGATTTCGACTTTATCTGGCTGTTCAGATTTTACCATATCAGTTTCTTTTACCGTATCAGTTTCTTCACTCCCTGAAGAAGCCCGTTACGCATTCATGCCTTTAGTATTGGTAGAAATATGCTGTAATGCTACCAGTATCGCTCTTGTTTATTGTAGACGAAGATGGTGTTGACGCAAGTGCGAGCCCTGCAGCAACTCGCCCAAGGCCACAGCAGTAGCAGCAGTGGTGGTTCCCTGGCTGCCACGCCCGTCAACCGCCCCATCACCAGGCAGAGCGCCAGGACGGTTGCTCATCCTTCCTCCGCCGTCCCGAGCCTCGCTGTACGTATTACTGGCTTACTCTTACTTAATCCCTTGCAATGCTATCTAATCTAATAAACTTGACTAACGATCCCTTTCATCTGACTGGCGAACTTCCATATCAGCGGGCGATCTCTCTCATCTCGTTTTCATCAACCGATCATTTTCCTCTGTTGATAATGTTTTCATCAACCGATCATTTTCCTCTGTTGATAATGTTTTCATTGACATCGCTTGTAGGTATATTTTATTCATCGAAGTCCATTACGCGTAGCATCTAAAGCAGTGTTTCTAGTCCAAATGGTACGCGTACCACTGATCATAGGCGAGGGACTTTCTGGTGGTTCCTTACGCTTTCAGTAAGTGCATGATTTTCAGTTCGTAATGTTCTACTCGACAAAATATGTACTACTGTAACAAAATATTCAACAACAATTTGCAAGAGATAGCGCTCGAGTGATCTCAACGACTTCCGAGGGTACGCCTACTTCTACCATTGGTGCATGAAGAGAAGATTTAATGTAAATAATCGTAAATATTTGCCACCAATATGTAGTATTAGTGACTATACGAGACCTCCGGTGTGGTACTTGATCACAATTAAGTTTGAGAACCACTGATCTAATGTAAAAGATTCAAACTCTGATGTGTTGGTTATTGGAAGCATTGTTAATGGCTGGGCTTGTTTCGGGTACAGTTTAGTTCCGCATCTATGGTGAAACCCAAATTTGTTAGCAGTATGTAGTAATTATAGATTATAATCAGTACAAAAACTGTATTTGATTCTGTGGGAGTAGTTACGATTACTATCTATTATCATTAATCAACAATTTATTTTAGGTTTAATTCATCAACGCCTCCCTCATTTCTTCACTGTAGGGCCCTGCTGTATCCAACCCTCGCCACCGCCGATCATTCTCCCAAGGCAACGTCAATGTCGTACTTGATCACAGACCCCTCAAGGTACAAAAAGTTCATTTACTGGAACAAATGCTTCGGCTTTTACATCCAGATTACTCACGTTCCATGATTTTGATGCTACATTTTACGATCGTTCTTTATCATTATAGATCTGCAAAGCTTTTCGTTTTGTGATGAAGCGCCCTTTTTCATTCATATTGTGGGACTTACCTCGATTTTTTTACATTTACCTCCTAACCAGCGATTTCTTCGCTGGCTGCTGAAACAACCTCACTCATTTTCATCTTAATTTTGTCCTCTTCAAACACATTGAATGACCAATCTAAAACCCTGCATATTGCATGAAAGCTTCATTTGTTTGCTTCCATGCTTTTCCCATTCAAGTGAATGAATTTATCCATGTCTACGTTCTTTCTAGCTGCTCTGTAAAGGCTATGCCTCTACAGGAAATAATGCTAAGTTCCTTACTCAATATCCATTCATTTTTCCATCGTGGCATGACATCTGTAGGTAATGATAGATAATTATTCGGAAGAATTGTCTACTGCGATTCCCAAATACTTTTTGCATCCTAATAACACCGTTACCCAATCTTTGACTCATGATCCTCAAGACGCTGGACACCAACACTGTGTTTCGTCCTGTGCTGGGCAAGCGACGATCCATAAGCAAACTGCGCTCCGAAGATCTCAACAATGACCGCGTGACTCATTATTGTCTCACCACACAAAACCAGGACTCTCAAGGCGAACTAGAAACTAAGCTCTATAAGGTAGCAAACGCCCGTGTCAAGAATTTAAGACTAATTCTAAACTGTCACTAAAGCTGCGGGCAATGTTCATCAAAGTCTTACTAAGGATAACAAACCTAATAAAGGATTATAAAATTTGCATCAAAAACCCTTTTGTTTTCAAACGTTGAACAAAATTTCATTAGTTCTCCTTTGTATCAGTGTCACTAATTTGTGTTGACTGAGTTTTTTTTTGCTTTTGAACATTGTGTGTTGGCTGCTGTGATCATTTTTCTGACATTGCTTCTATGTGTGGTAGTGTATCCATCCATTCACCGTTAATTCTTTATAACATGTATAGCAATATTTTTTGTCAGTTTGTGGTTTGAAGGCGGATTTTCGTGTTGATTGTCCGTGGGATTTCATTGACAAGCATGGCATTTCAGGGCATGAATTTTGAAGTACAGCGTTTATATTACAGATGTGTGGTTTTGTTGCCAATAATCTCGTGGTTTTTCGTTCATTCAGTTCACAAACTTTTTCATTTTAATCCATAATTACGTTTTTAAACAATTGTTGATCCTAAGAAATACGTTATCTTATCAATATACAAATCTTGCTACTTTCCTTGCATCCAGTTTGAAGTTGAAAATAATAATTATAGTAATTTTCTTTACTATCTTGTAGCGTTTAGTTGAATTAACAACGTTGAATAAGTCTTAGATTTTAGGGAAAATAACCCGAGTCCTCGAACAGGGTGACGTGCTACCCACAACAGGAGGAGGCTCGCAGGTCGTCTTTCAAGACGTCGAGATTCTTCGTCAGAGAGACCCGTTAGCTGTGCCCAACTCAGGTATTTTTTGGAACAGAATTTCATTATGTTCGTGTTTTGTTAACTCGATTGCTAAGTCGACCTACTGTGGGCATAATTTACATTCGGTATCATTGATCTTTTTCGTGTAACCAGAGCGATTAAAAATTTGGTGGGTTGTGCGACAGAGTTGTATCTGATTTAACCGATAGAACCCAGTCTGGTTTTCTGCGTAAAATGTGCAGTTAATATGGAGTGTGCAATTCTACATCTCAACTACAAAATAGTCGCATTCTCTCAATTAGTATTGATTGCCCATTTGACTGCGAACTAGAACTACCAACCTTTTTATACACTTCTTACCTGATTATCAAATTACAAAAAAGATTCATGCACTACGTATGATTAAATCTTGCATTAAAATACGTTATAAGTTAGCTCGCCTTAATATTAGCTTTATTGATATAATAATTCGATTTAGTAGATATCCTTTGAATTTGTCAGTTAGCACTGATTTATTGAACACGCATGATCTTTTTTTTTTTTTTTTTGTAAATATTTCGATTTAGTTGCGTCAGTGAATTGACCGAGTGCATTTAATTGCGTCAGGAGTGAAGCGAAACAGCGACGGCACTCCAGCGACGGGAAGTCTGGACGCGGCGCTACAGCACGAGCGTTGGAAGGCGCTTGCCAGTCCCGCCACGCCCAGAGCTCCCGCCAACAAGAGGACCAGACTCTAAACCTTCAGCCTAAACCTTACTCACTGACGGTCAAGCCTCAAATATCATTAGAGTAATCGCTTTATTAGGACTTGGTTTTCTACCGCATCCTCGTATTAGAATATAAAATGTAATTCGTTGATATGAATATTCTATTGATTTTGCCTCAGTAGTATACAGTACAACAAAATTTCCGGTCGATCGCGATTCCTTATCCTCGCCAATAATTGTTCACAGAAGTTCAGCACACTATCGTCATGAGCTCCACATAATACCGCTTTATATTTTCCTTTCAAACCTTCATTGTCAGTCACAATGGACATTTATCATGAATCATACCGAAACGAGTAATTTCTCTTGCTTTCGATGTTGATATTAGAATTGGCTTGCGTTTGAGCAGTTCTGATTTTAGTACTCATTTTATCATAATTTTTTACGCTCGTGTTGCAAATATTCTACTCGGAATTTTGATTTCGAACGAATTAGTTCGAATCTTGATATTCATTCAATTGGATTGTATTCAGTTGCTTATTTCTATTAGCTCCTGCCCCATTCTGTCTAATCATTGATTATCGGTAGATTTTAGGTGCTCGAACGTGAAAAGATCTTTTGTTTCATTGACTTGCCGTCGTTTAATGTTCATATTTTTTTATTACTCATAGTTTAATTTTTGAGTACGTTAATCGTTTCTTGAGAAGAAACATTTTCCCTCTGGGTCGACATGTTTTTGGTAATAAATAACCATGACTGATATCTACGGTTGTCTTTTCATGACTCTTCTACGTGCACGTGAACGATTAGTCGCATTTAAGAAAAAAAACTAAATTGCAGAATGTGTGAAGTTAGAAATAGTGAATTTTTTAAATAATATTTTATACCTGCCATGTATGAATGCCTTCTAGTTTTATAAATCAAATGTATAAGTTTGGCTATGTATCACTTCATGTCGTCGTCTTCCATATTATAACAAGGACAAACAAGCTTAGTTCATGAGCCAACTGCATATGACTGCAAAATGTAGTATTTAAATACTCCTATAAAGATTCTTGTTGGCTTGTATTCGAACTTTAAGGATAGATTATATCTTTTTATAAAACGAAATAAGGGTAGAAATATCGAAGTTAGCTCGTCTGGATCACTTAATTCAGATTAGGACGCTAATATAGGAAAGTCGCTGACCTGTGTTCAGCAAAGCGTCTTAAACGAGTGACGTCCATTTAGTGATTTTATTGCCTTCGAGGATGACGAGTTTTGTCTTTTCCTCGCAATGCAAATGTATTCTTTTTTCTTTCGATTAGCGCTGACATCTAGCATAACCTAATAAGGTTAAAAAATATTTCAATAAAAACCTTATCAGGTTTTTAAATAGATCACCTTTCTATTTGATTTTGGAAAAGTTACGAATGGCAATTGCATTTAGGCCCTTCTCCGTTTAATGACTCTCAATTGAGAATTAACTTCCCAAAATCTCTGTCGCTAATCAGATTTATCTCTAGCACTGCTATTGTTGAACCACGTTGGCCTTTATTCCCTTTGTTTTTATCTGCTCTTTTAGCTTGCATTTGATGCCTGGTGCATGAATATTAAAAATTTCCCTTTCAAAAATTGTTTATAAGTCATCAGTTTTGCAATAGAAAATACGTCTAATAGAGTAAATAGACTGTTTGCTGCAAAGTGCATCTGTTTTTACGACTGGCTGATCTATTGAATCTCGGACCAGTTCATTGTACGGACGAATATGAACAGATCATGGTTCATAATTAAGCTTGGCAGTCATGAATGCCTCTGGTACATTCCCGTAATTTCAAAAGTATTGTTGAATCTATTTAGTATCATCACGATGGCGAGAGTATTAAGGTTTTTCTCGCATTTATATCCCATCCTCGACTCCGGTGCTAATGAGACATCGATTTGAAGATGTAAATAATACCTAGTTTTAAATGTCTTAGAGGTTTAAGATTTTGGTACGAAGGATTTTTATTCGTGATGTGTTCTTTATTGTAAGCAGATAGTCCATTTTCATACCCACGAGAAAAGTATAATGTTGGAAAATCTCAATCATTTTATTAACGTCAAAAATAATGTCTCGCTCGCGAGACTAGAACCGTGTGCATGAACTTTAAATAATGACGACGCTTATCTGTTGTATGAGTCATGATAGTATTTGCCTTAATTGACAAACCGGCATTTTTCGCGCAGTTTATTTATAGCGAAGTCAAGGACGCAGTTGCAACAAAACCATTACCTGCGTGGGAGGCTTGCGTTACTATGTTTGATCTCTGTTCTGAGACCTGGCCTGATTTTAGAAAAAATGAAACGTATCTTCTGAATCAGAAATAGACTGAAGTTCCTGCGCCATCAAAGTCGGAAAAAACGTTAAGCATTCGCAAGATGCACGAGTAGAATATTGTTTTCTATTTGTGTGACTTCCAATTATCGTTACCGAGCTCTCCGTCTGGTTATTGCGTTATCCAATGGCGGCAGTAGATATTTTTTAAAGCAGATTAATTACTTGGCAAGTATGTTGTGTGGCAGTAAACTCAGCCATAAATCCGACACGAAGTTTTTAGGGCAGGGAAACTCGTACATTTCAAGTGGAATGATATATCCTAGCGAAAGTTTTTTTGATGGAACAAGCAAATTGTCACTTCTCATGAGCGAAAAAAATACAATTCAGGAGTTAACATTTTATTATGAATATCTTATTATTCCGTCGTCTATGAAGGGAATATTGATGACGTTGACGAAGAAATTGAAATTTTCATAGTTGATTCAAGTACGGAAGATTTTTAAAATTAGTTGTGATTAGGAAGCCGAACTTCCTCTCGTATCACTTTTCCACTCCGTTGCATCACTCGTCACGTCATGGTTGAGATGTGCAAACCACGGCATTTTCCCAGTCAAAGGTGACTCAACTACTGAACTTCGAGTCAATTTCTAACATGGTATCGCTTTTACCATGTTTCTGTATTTTCCTATGAGATGCCGTAAATATCACGTATTTGATCTAATCAAAAATTACACGAACTATTCTTCATCGGCTCCTGATCCAGCAACAAGCATGCCGATTAGTTCCTCAACGTCGATTTGATTGTCGTCATCGATGGGTAGATGCTGGAAGGCGTCATCGACTTCAGCGCTGGTGTATTTGTCTCCCCAGGTCATGAGGGCGTGGCGGAAATTGTCGCAGTCGATGTAACCTTCTTCGTTGGCGTACGCCAAGAAGGCTTTCTTGATCACCTCATCATCGTCGACCTCGCCCTTGTTCTTCTCGGCAAACATGTTGAGGAACATCGTGAAGTTTAGGGGACCGTCGGCTTCCCCCAACATTTCTGCTATCTCATCGTCACTGATGATGCGACCGATTTCATCAAAAATTGCCCGGAGATCCTCATTGTTCAGAATACCGTCCTTGTCTCTGTCCATGATTTGGAAACCTTCCTTCATCTCAGCCACTGTCTTTTGTGAGAACATATCGAAAACATTGCTTCCGGCTTTTTGTGCCTTCTTGGAAGACGAACGTGAACCACTCTTCGGCATTTTGTGATGTTTATGCGAAGCTGAACTAACTCCAAACTAATAACTTTTTAGAGCCGAGCAAACCACTGCGGTAAGACGACAGACGGGAGCGCGACGGGCACTAAGGCATGGGTGTCAAATCACCCCCTCTTTATAGGTTCAGGCGCCTGCTACCCTACCGCACCACCCACGAGAGCCAGACCTCCTCCTGCTATATTGGGTGGTAGAGCAACCTTCTTGGCAGGCATTCTCTGCTCTCGTTATCGTTCATGCGCCGCTGCAGTCCTTTGCATGTAAAAACACTAAGTGAAATTTTGATAATATACCTTCAGTATTATTTATTTCTTCATATGCATTAACTGTCCATGGGAAATATCGAGCTCTATGACGATGATACCTGCAAGCTAGCGAAAATTACCTTACGTGCTACTTTTCTTTATTCGCTCGTTTTCCCGGCCCATTTGCCGCGTTTACCTTGCATTCTTGGCAGAGTTCCATGAGAAGCAGCTCCGTTGTAGACAATAACTGGACGACTCGTAAGTGCATCACTTTGCGATGTCTCACCGCTCATGAATGTCACGGTAAGACTTTTTCAAAATACACTAAATTGTTTTTGATACCGCAATTTATTATTTCAAAGTTGTTTGCAGCATTGTTAGATGCCACAATTCTCATCTAAATTGTAAAATTACACTTACATAAGTTTATTTGGATAGTTTAAGTGAATATCTTGGTTCAAACTACGCACTTCAAAAAAATTAAGTGTCTCGTGCAGGTGTTAGTGAAAAGATAATTTTTTTGTACATGTACGTAGGGCATTACAATTGACACATTTACTGAAAATTTATGAGAGCAAAATTGTAGCTTCAAGTTAGTGTTCACAAGAACGAGATGTGTTGAGAATAGCTCTTCACCGGAAGGCTGACCCTTCTGCAGAACCCAAACAACGTATTCACCTCACCGGGGTTCAAGCTTATGAATACTCCGTCTCTCCCTTCACTTAAAACTCTCGACTCTCGCAACTCTTCCTTTACTTTCATTCTTCCGCTCTCAGTAAATCTCTGCTCCTTTATTCGTTCGTTATTCGTTGATGGAAGAACCACTGTCTTCGCTATTGTAAGTGACATATAGTTTTTTTTTTTATATAAAGCTATGTATAAAACAGGAACACGCTTTGTTAAAACGGGGAATTAACCTTGAAGGAACGTCTTTAAATAACTTAACAAAAACGGGTTAAACATTTCAATCCCTGCCTGTCGATCATAACATAACATAACATANACGCCTTCGATTTATTTGTAGTGTAATTCTAATCGCCATTATACCTGAACTGACGCCTCGTAATGGACAAAAAAGATCACGGTGCAGACGCGTGCGGTTGGGTGCACTCACCGCCCTCAACCTCCCAGTCTAAATTTAAACCATTAGCCGCTGCCAACTAAACTCTTGTAACCGCCTCACTTGTGCTCTGCATCAATGAGAATCTTATCCTCGTAAGCTAATGAAGTCAAATACATTGTAATGCCGTGGATCTCTATAGTGATACCTGATAGTGTATTTCTATTAACTTCAGCTATCAAATTAATTTTTTTTGCCGCAAAATGTTTGTTTGATTGTAACAACAACATTTGAGGTACACAAGAAATACAATTCTGTCTAAAAATACTTCAATGCCTATTGTCAATAAATAAATTGAAATTCAAAGAAGATTGCTGAAATGGAGTTCTCATCACAACGCTACACAACAAATTTTGTGGTAGACTCGTACAACCATCAACAATACAATACAATCTACATGCTTAGCTTTGATTAATCTTATTGCAAAATTACCAGTGGGTGGCATTATTGTTCTAGTATACACAAAGCACCAGGGGCCTGTCAATGTCATACCAACACGCCGACGCGTTCACCTGTCACCTATCTGACAGGGGAGCTCTATCAGGAATTCAGGTACGCCAGCTGTTGTAGAACTTCACCATGTTTTTTTTATCAAAGTTTAAGTAAAATTTCTCCTATAATTACTAATCATGAATGCTACCTCCCACCGTCGCATTGTGATTATCTCCTTTTCCCTGGGCTGCAGCCCTTATTGATGAACGACGATATGATTTACACTTTCGTCCATGTATATAGTGTAATGTCGATAATAAATAGTGTAGCGGCGAGTAGGAAAACATTGCTCAACTATGATGAAAATTTTTTAACAAAAAAATTAGCCTAATATTCAACATATTATTGCAGATGCTGACTATGCACATGTGTTCATGGTGATTCACGCAGACTTCATTCGGAAAGTTCAATAAAAAAGAAGTAGTAAAGATATCATTACACTACAAATTTTATTGAAAAATTCTTTGCCTGAAATTTCCTATCACTTAATTTAAAGATGACATCGGACAAATGACGGCCCCTCGTGATCAATGCCTTCGGTTAGTCGATTTTTGAAGCTCCATTTAACTCTCTGAAGCATTTTGACGGGTATGTTGGCGATGGCTTGACGTATGTTGTTCTGGAACTAAGGTAGGGTCCTTGGACAGTCATTGTAAACAATTGATTTGAGGTAATTCCATAAAAAATCACATGGAGCCAAATCGGGGGATCAGACCGGTCCAACAGGGTCACCTCTCAAAGGGATGAGGCGCTCGGCAAAATGTCTAAGAAGATCCATTGAACGTAGCGCGCTGTGCGGGTCGTGGCTCCATCCTGTTGTTGTCTTCGTGTGTTGTGGCAGTCCGCTGAACTCCAGACCCTCTTGCATTCACACGTCTACTTGCCCTAAATGTGTTCACCCACGTAACAATCAATTTCCGATCAGGAACCTGACATGAAGGACGAATAAGGAACCGAACACGGGATGCTCGTTGAGTAGCGACAATGGAACGGCCATTATAAAAGTACGCCTCGACAGCAAACGCACTCCGCTCATTTGTCCAATACATAGTGTCAACTGACTAGGCGAGACACCAAACTTCATGACCTTGACTTTTATATGAAATACACCCCGCATTTTTTCTGCTACATCTGACTACTCGGCGCGATATACAAAACAGGAAATTTCCTTGAAACTCCCTGTATAATGAACTCGGTGGTGTCTTGGACTATAGTAAGCGCACTTTGCTCATTTGTCCAATACATAGTGTCAACTCACTAGGCGGGACACAAAACTTCATGACCTTGACTTTTATATGAAATACACCCCGCATTTTTTCTGCTACATCTGACTACTAGGCGCGATATACAAAATAGGAAATTTCCTTGAAACTCCCTGTATAATAAACTCGGTGGTGTCTTGGACTATAGTAAGAAATTTCAGCACGACTAAGCAATTGAAATTCCTTAGATGAATCCTCTATTCCTATAAGGTATTAAATTTCCTGTGATAATGATAATGATTTTAATTCTCACGCAAAAAAAGTTTTTCGCATATATAATATACCGAGTCTATGCTGCTTTAGTTAAAGTCGACATTGTATGAGGAAACAAAATAAAATTTATGTTTATAAATGCATTGGATACACAAGAATTTGGCTCCATAAATTAATCACTATTGCTTTGGGTGAAGGGCGCGTCATTTTTATTGCCATCATTGTTGTGAACAAAATGTGAGTTACGTGGCGCATATGAGTTCTTATTAGAGTATTAAGAAACTCTGTATACCCACTGCGTGACTGAGAATGAAAGCACCATTGTTGGTGGTGGTGATGGCAGAGATGGTGATAGTCCCCGCGTTGCGCACTAACTGCTGCCAACCTTCGATCGCTTGACGCTGCAGTGCAGACGTGGAGCTGGACGTGTCACAGCCTCTCTTCCAGCGCTTTCCATACCTTAACAACAATAACGAAGTGTACAGGCATTACATTGGTAAAATTAAGCTATACTTCAGGAACCTGCTGCGAAAATTAACTAGAGAGGTGTTAGTTCATAGAATCGTTTACGATAAAGTCTTGTGACGGCTTTAGAATCAATGGCGTCCAGGGTTTACTGTAATGTTACTTCCCACGACGAGTCCCAATGCTAAGCTAGGTTAGAGTTTCTCAAATATTCATATCAATTGGGAAAGGGATTGATTCGAACATTGAAGTCATAACGCGTGAAATAAAATTCTGGTTCAAGATTTGAAGTTATGCGACTGAATAATTATAATTGATTAAATATTCGTGAAATGAAGTCACGGGCCTGAATTATTATTATTCGTGAAATTATTTAATGAACCTTAATTAATTCAGAATTCGTGAAATGAAATTATCCTATGATTAAGTGGTAATTCGGGGAATGAAGCCATTTTTTTTAAATAAATTCATGATTCGTGAAGTCATGACCTGAATGAAGTCATGATTGGTGAAACGAAATCACGAACCTAGCCTAAATGAGGTCATGATTCGTGAAACGAAGTCATGATGCGTCATATGAAATCATGAGCCTGAATGAAGTCAAAATCCGTGGAATGAAATAGTGATTTGTAATATGAAGTCTCGAGCCTGACTGAAGTCAGGTTCGATTCGCATCGCATTCGAAACTTGAACTAAAAGCTAGCGCTTAACGTGTATCATTTGGCATTATACTTTGCTCTCTTTTTACTTTTAGATAAATTAATATAATATAATGTGGGAAATTTTCACCTTAATTCACTAATATGATCAGAACATAAATTTTACAGCGAAAACACAGTTCTCACTTGGAGGCTCATATAGAACGATAGAAACAACTTGTATAAGATTTGATGTCGCATGTGGAGAAACATCGTATGGCATCATGAAATATAGGATTTGCTGGCAATGAATTGATTTAATGGTAATTTACAACCAATTTTTATTGCTGATATCCGGGTATAGAATTGTATTATACAAGTAGGAATAGAAATTAACTATTGATAACAATCAAATGTTACATTTATTATAACGTCTGTAACGCAACCAAACATTCATTCCAGATCAGATTATAATGACTTAGCAGTATAATACTAAACTCTGCATTTGAAGAGATTAGGAGCTTTCATTCCGATTCTATTTTTCAATTGACCTACAACCACGGCTAAAATAAGAATTCATTCTATATCTGTTTGAGCAGTATTAGGAGTTTCAGCTTCAAGCGCGAAAATAAATTCTGAATTATTAATTAAAATTAGTACACTGATGCCAATTTCGTATTATTTGAAGCTATTCTGAAGAACCCAGACAGTGCCGAGCTACTAACTGAAGTCCTTGACATATTCAGCGTGAGAGTGATTGTAAATAAGTAAATAATTGGGTACTGTTCTATAGAAGTAATTATTTAGATCAGTGTTTGTTGACCGGTGCAAACTAACAAGAGTGAAATACGCGGTAGTGATATAGGGCACTTAATTAGCGTCCCAACGATTGAGGAGAACCTAGAAGGTGCAAGGTGCCGGGTGCAGCAATAGCGGTACTAGCGCTGTGGTAGCGACGGTACCAAGAGAGTGAAGTGTAGCTGATCGCAGCAGCGTCAGAGTGGCGTCTTCACACGCAACATGCGCATTACGAACACTTCGAAATACTTGCTACCAGCCATAAGTAGATTGTTACGACCTTTCTGACATAACTCCTCCCAAGTGAGTACCTGGTGTTTCACAGTGTATGTAGTTTGTCACGAAAGACGTGTGGCTGCACTCAATCGTTTTGTGTCTCGTTCGAGTTTCCGGCTAGAACACTCGATCTCTCCGGCACTCGGTCTGTTTTGAGTCAAATTATCAGACATCCATTCAGTTGAAAATCTTCGGAACAATAGACTTGGTAGCAATCGGTTTTTGGAAGTTTATTGTTTGATTAGACAGTAGGTTTTGGTGACGCTTGAATTGATCCAGGGATACCGCACGGAAAAATTAGTTTCGTCGGCACAATCTTTATTTTCCATTTGAAATCCGATTTGCCCCCAATGTTCTGTTTCTTGCGTAACTCATAGTGGCGGTTTTATGTTATTGTTTTTGGAACAGCACCTCTTCCAAGTGAGTTGCACTCAACAGGTGATGGTAATTTTAGAGCCAAGTAAGTCGAGCTAAATCCGTAATTTATTTCAAATTTTTTTTTAATTTTAAAACATCTTTGCATTTTGTACGCTGACAGCTCAACAACATGTTACGGAATCACTGGAAATTTCGTAGTGAAAGACATACTGAATAACTAAGAAGATTGATATTAATTTCTATTCGCCGGATAAATAAAGACAAAGAAGTAATTGTTGAAATATCGAGAACATTTTTTCGACTAAATAACAAACATCAAACTTTTTCAACTAACAGAACTCAATCTTGCATTAGTCTTGCAGCCGACGTGAGACAATTTTCCAACAGTTTATTTATTTCAGACTGTAAAGATGTTACCAAATTTAGTGTCATTAAATTAAGACAAATTCTTTTCGTGATAACTGCTGACGGATAATTTTTGAGCGGCATGCAAAGTTAGGAAGGAAAACGCTTTTATCGCCTCGAAACTTGCATGTGGAATGATTGTTCAACTGCATGTAATCTGTTCCCTCAGGTATGAAACTGGCTGCGCAATCCAGGACAAATTTTTTTTATCTTCAGGATAATTGAGCCAAATATGTTACTTTGAAACCAAATGGGTACTAATACTATTTGATCATTTATCAAGTGCGATTTTATTGCTGAACTTTTGAGCTTCTCTGGATCTATAGTCTTGCAAAAACCTTTCAAACCTCTGAATTCGTAATCATTGCTCGCAAGATTTATCCCATACAACATAATTTCACGTTTTCTTCGCTTGCTACTTTTTATCCGTCGCTTCTCTTCGAAACTTTCATTAAACAAATTTTGGAACTTTGCGACTCAGTTCCGTTCACTATGCTTTCACTATGCGGAGTTCTGATCACAAATACCAGATTAAAATGCAGTTCACTTTACGCCACTTCTCACAGAGTTCCGTGTTGCAGATGGCTGATCCTAGCGACACTGCTGCGCTGTGCACCGACACACGAGGCACATTCGACCAGGGCCAGCCTGCAGACCTGGATGTCGAGGCCGGGGCTGTGGTTAGGGAGGAACCGATGAGCATGGGTGATGACCTCAACACTGAAAAAACTGCTGACGGCGAGCTCCAGGAAGAGGGCGAGGAGGGAGTGGCTGGTGATGAGGAAGCTGAACCAATCAAGACTGAGTTCAAAGTTCCTTTCGTTTACCTCATCGTGAGTGAAATTGATGATGGCCGAGATGATGTATAGATGATGGCCCAAACGGGATCAGTTTGGCGTAAGCTGGCTTTTCCCTAGAATAGGTTAGAATAGAAGTGTCGGTCCTGTAGAAATAGGCCCATGGCCTGTTGCCGATTCTTTCGCTTTTCGTGACTTGATTTACAAGGGATCCGGCCTTTGGAACCCGATCTTTCCATAACTGATAATTGATTGAGATAGCTGCTGGACTTATTGCCTGGTCCTGGTCATAATGTTGAGAGTTCTCTCATTTTAAAATTTTCTCTCAATTTGTGGATTGTGATCAACTTCATTGTGATCAAATAAGGTCGCGTATCCAATTTTCGAAAACTTTTAATTAAGAATACTAAGCTTTTTTTCAAGTTTCTTGATTTAGAACGAGCAGTAGCATTTTTCAGACTAGACTGGTTGAATGTCAACAAATTAATCATTTGATTAAACGAGAAAAATACTGAGTGTGTAACTCAGTATTTTTCTCGTTTAATCAAATGATTAATTTGTTAACATTCGACCAGTCTAGTCTGAAAAATGCTACTGCTCGTTCTAAATCAAGAAACTTGAACGTTCATAAAAAAAGCTTAGTACTTTTAATTAACGCAAATTTCCACCGACATTCTATGCTTAACGGAACCTTAGCTTGTCTGCAGTGATGAACTTCCAGATGCTTTCGTCCTTCAGGGTGGGGCAGAGAAGATATCCTCATTTCGTAGGCAAATTAAAAACACATAAAAATCTGTTCTAACATGACATCTTTTGGTATCAGAGGGGTTCAAAAGGAAGTACACTTTGGTAATAAATGGGCCTTGATTTCAACGACACGTAAATCCAATGTTTCAAGTCCTCGTTGTCAACTCACTGCCGTAGCCCGAGGGCCCCGAGTGATGTACTCGCCCAAGAAGTTCTATGTAACTTTACAACTGTAAATTTTTGCATCACGTAGCCAATTTTTTGCTAATTTTTAGCTTTTAGACTATCTAGAACTGATGATTTATGCCTAAGCTCGTTAAACAGCGAGATGCTTAAAACAAAAGTGGGATGGAGTTGATTCCATTGGCAAGAGGGATTAGCCAACCCCACCATGATAACGAGCGACAGATCGGACGGGGAATATTAAATTGTTAAATTAAAACAGGCATGGAATTTTCACCATGAACAACGGTAATAAAGTTCCATTACCTGTGCATCATTAGATTAAACCTCAACTCCTTCAACACGTCTCTACATCTCCTGACCCCATCTCAGAAATAGAGATTTCTCCCACCTATGTACTTCTGCATTTTTTAGTGAAGCCACATGCGCTAAGAAGTGACTTTTATTATTTTCGTGAAATTCAGAAATATTTTCATAAAAGATTATAATCATGTGCATATTATATTCTTAGCTGAATAACTATATCATTAAAAGTCAATGATATCATTTAATCAATTCACTGCATACCAAGACGTTAAATTACTGTCTATCCATACTGTTCGTTGCTATGTTCTGCATTTACAATCTCGTCATTTCTGGCTGGTACGCCCATTGGGCAAGCAATGCAGGTCATTTCATTGCCAGCTCGGATACGTCTTTAATGCAATTCTAGTCAAGTGGCGGTACCAATCACGTCAGCTATTCCACTTATTTCACTTTTGAATGCTTTGTTTCGTTTTCCAAACGACAGCCCCTGCCTTTAGTTTTGTTAATGTCGTTATTCGTTTTGTTTTCTATAAATTCTGAACTGTTACTTTCTACTCTCAGATTCCACCTGCGTACATGTTTTATTTGGATTTTTATTTGTTGCAGGTGGAGCCTGGTTGTACCCCACTCTCGTGCTACTCCGCCATCCTAACCTTCATTGTGATGAGCTGTGGAGTATTCTGGCTGCTTCTCATCTCACCGCCGCTCAACGCCAAGCCCTACGAAACACGAATGCCGTGGCTTGATAACCGAAAGACCAATGTGTCCGAAGCTCCCAACTCGACTTCACCAGAACTTTTGATTTCCGGATTTCAATCGAACAAAATAGACACGGCAAATTTACTGGATGTGGAGCCACAAGCAACCTTGCTCAATACAGGAGAGACTTTGGAAACGGATAGTCCCTTGTCCGGTGACGGAAGCATCAACGCAGATATTGTTTCCGAGTTTCTGTCTCATCCGGAACCAGAAGAGTTCAATCAAACTTAGTGAGATACCATCAGCATTATAATCAATGTTTGATCTTTGTTTGTATCATCCAACTGAATGATAAATTAAGACTAAAGAACAATGAAAGGAATCAACGGCACAATTAATTGCGCGGTTGAGTTATGTTCCTGGTAGTTGCCATCGATTTCAATTTAACACGTGACTACATATTTTAAGTCAAAATCAACATCTTATCGTGACAAAAACTTGAAATTCGTGTCCGAATAATGTTTTATTGATAAAAATACCTAATGGATTACAAGAAGATTTGAATCAATATGAACATCACTATGAACTATGTTACCCGAACATTTTTCGATCAAAATTTTAACTATACGCTTCGTTGGCAGTTGGGTTTGAGAGGAATTGGAGGATCGAGAGATTTTAAAAGCTTTTATAAATGTATTTGTGATATTTTTCATCGGAAACTGAAGTAATAAAAAATTTGCTTCATGCTCGAATGACATGTTAAAAAATTTCTCGCTGAACATAATTAACTTACTTGCTGAAATCAGAAAAACAATACATTTTTTACTTTATCTTTGCCCTGCAAGTTCTTCAAAATAAGTAAGATCGTTTAAACCTGTTCAGAAATTTCAATCTTACAACACGTATTCAAGCAAGAACTGCCATGCACAAAATCACCTCTGGATAAATTTTTACAATGACTCGTGATGGAGTTGGTATCTTCTTCAATAATACGATAATCTGTACAATTACTTCGAACTTCTGCATCCTCCATTTTTCTCACTATATGAAGCACATATATTTAATTTACGCAACTTTTTAGCACCTATTTTGCTTCGTATTCAGCTTATACAAGTTTAGCAAATTCTAACTCACCGAATGAAAAACCGAAATTAAGTTCCATCAAGGAAGCGAAACCTCCATAACCGCAATTTTCCTCTGCACTTATAATAAAGACTTGAAAATTATAAATTACCTTGTGATTTTAAAATTTAAAATTAAAATATTTAAGCCCTCTATATTTTTAGTTCATCCTCGACAGATAACATGAATCAATAGTCAAATTTCTGAAATCAATTCAGCATGAATCGTTATGATTCAAACTTTTTTGGCTGGCATTATTTTGATTTAGTAAAATAGAATCGTATATGTTTGTTTGCATTCAAGCATCATTTGTCTTTGTAAAATGAAAATCGATGTAAAGCTCCGAATGCAATAAAAAATTGGTATCCTAGTGTGATAAAATTGTAATTTAAAAGCTAATGATTATATTTTGTAGATATTCTGATGTTTTAAAGAATTATGAGAAATAACCAATAATAGTTTTTATTGGAAATCGCCTTTTGGACTTCATTTACAATTTAGTAGATTGTTATTCATTTAAACGTCGGCAAGGGCAAAAAATTGTAGTTATTCCAGCATTTTAAAAATATATATATTTTATGTTAACTGATCCAGAAATTGCATGAAATTTAAAGACCGTATCATGTCAGCAATGAAAAGCTCTCATGTCATCACGATAATTGCTACTACCAAATCAAACTTCATTACGTACTCTAGCATTCATTCATTTGTAAATTTCCTGAGTCGCCGAAAACATGATTTTTTTCACTGTTGTCTCTTTATAAGCGTCCGAGACTTGAATCCGAAGTAGATGAGCGCGTGTATGACCATTTAACAAGGTTGAGCTTCATGCAAATATTTGTAATGATTAATTGCCGCTGTTAAATCATAAAATGGAATAAGCAGTGATGAACTGAAGAATGAACATGTTGCACAAGTGTAGAAATTAAACTTCTTTTACTTAATATCATCACAGATAAAAATTTTCTCCGAAAATCTTTTCTGAAAATATTTCGCTTCCATATCAATGCTCACTTGCATACTTCAATATAGTTAACTAAGTTGCTACTCAATTTCGGAATAATACGCAGAGATTGGAGTTCAATGGCCGTTAAATGGTAAAACAATTCATACATCGAGTAATGATGCGATAAAGAACATCATTTTTCGTAAGTAAACGTCTTATCTTGTTAAAGAGTTTCACGTTAAAGAAATGCAATGTTAGTATTGTTCTGATTCCGGCATTATATTTCACCTTTAAAATTTCTACGAGCAATTTCGAATTGATCTCAATGGCTTCTTGCTTTCAGATTTTCAAAAATATATGAACATTTCAATAAACTTTCTCAATCTCCCCTTCTCGCAAATGACTGTGAGGCCAGGCCTTAAAGCTGCAGTAACTCCAGGCAAAATATTTCTTAGATATCATATGAAATTCCGAATGGTTATAGCATTGTCCTCCTATTTCATCAACTTACATATTAAAAATAATTATTATTATTTTAGGTTTGCCTCGTACGAAATTTAGTGAAGATTTTTCATTACCTAATTCAGAAGATTTAATTGCACTCAATTATTTCAATACATTATAGATATTTTAAAGTGACCTCAGACTGATGGCTACGCTTTTCTCTGCAACAGAAGTATTCGGCAAGTCTCTGACGGTCGCGAAATCACGTCACGTTGAAAACGCCTGCTCTTCAAGTGCCCAATACTCGGGTCGGCTGATGCAAGAACAATTGGGAAACATGTTTTAAATGTAAAAATACGTAAATTATATGGCTTATAGCTGCAGCGCGCAAGCTGTCGTATTAAAATCAGTATTAACTGAGAAACTTCTGCGGGTTGCTATGACCACTACATTACCATTAACCAGCACGCTGTTATTCTAGGCCAGTGCTATAATTAATGATCTAGCAATGCAACACTTGCTTCAGCGCTGAAATCAGCAAGCTACGAAGCGTAACATTCATGCAATAATTTCATAATCTTGATTAGTGTGAGGTTTCATAGACTCATAGATATTTTTGCAGGATTTGTGTTTTTATGAGTTTAAATTCCTACTTCTTTTTGACTTGAGTGAAGAAGTTGGCAACATATATTTGGTTTCAATTAAATAGGACAGGAAAATACAAGTTTTTGGCGATTCACAGTCAAAACTCGCATAAATTTGATGACACGTAATTACAGTACGAATTCATACAAAGTGATTCGACATGTTCAATAACTGATGCATTAACAATAATTTCTATCTTACTGCAACTCCTGCCAAATAATATTTACGCGACGCTGCCAAATAATATTTACCTTTTTGACTTCCGAGGAATTTTTACCTGAGCATTAGAACTAAAAATAAGACGATATTGGAACTAGTATTGCCTGGTCACAATACATTTAGTACAATTTCTATGGCTACCAGACAGAATGCTTGCAAAGCACTTATTATTCGGGTAAACATTGTAAAGCAAACCTTTATTTATTTGTTTGTGATGAAGTGGGGGACTCTCCAGCCGAGGTCGACTCACTCAATAATGCATCAGAAGGCCTAGTGTTACCATCGATTCCAGCCACGATTAAAAAAATAATGAAAAATATAATTCATTATAATGTAATAAAAGTGTCATTTTGTTATAGAGTTCTCAAAATCGTAACGAACTACCGTAGGACTAAGTGTGCTGCATGGCGCTAGCGAATTTATTGGTAATCAAAATACAAATAGGTCGTATAAATTTGCAAGCTCCGGTATTAATTGTCATTTATCAGTAGCAAAATCTTTTCATAGTTTGGTTTGTTGAGAATCAGTAAGTTGGGATGCAAATTTCTTCTCATTCGTTATTTTTGGCCATGTTGATATAAGTAAATTAAATCTTAGACGTAAAGACCGTAGATTGTTTTGAGAGCATCAAGAAGTTAATTTATCTGTATCTGAAGACCAACTTACAGTATGACAATGTTACCTCCAAGCCTAGACCAATTTTTCTATGATAAAACCAATGGGGAAAATAAATATTTTATCTCTAAGAGGTGAACCATACCGCCAAATATACGTAAAATATGAAGGAATGCTACCTATAAAACAATTTATGTAAGAGCTTCAAGTAATTGAAGCAACATCATCACATTCTAGATATAAATTCAAGTCAATAAAGGCTTTTGGAAGATCGAAAATATTAAATACCATCAATGCTTTATTGATTTCATCGTGAAGTTTCAATTGAAACCCAAAATATTTTGAATTGCAACATTGAAGTAAAGCAGATGTGAAACTCTTCACGAACCAATAAGGAGCGCCTTGTCATATATTCATGATTTATGAGAAGTTATTTGAAATTCTGAGCAAGGGTTGACCGCTGCACAAAATCAGCGCGGTATAGTGAACGAGCGTCTGATGCGATAAGGACTTAATTAAACGGTGGAGCGGGCTTGTGGCTGATCGTCTCACAGATAAGGCACCTCTTGCGCCTTCAGGTTAAACATTGATCGCGGCACTCACGGCAACGCTTGCTACGCAACCGAGGTACGGTTTGAAGGCTCACAGCCTTCAAACGGCATAATTCTCAGATTGCAATTTAAATCGTCCAAAGGATTTCACGATAATGGAAATGATAATTAAACGCTCTGCTATCTCATCATCGTTGTTTCCTCATTCAACGTTTGCCATTCATGCTTCTGTTGATGAAGCGGCAATAAGTTGAGACTTTGCTACAAACGCACAAAGATTTTTCAACATATCGTAAGAAAACTATCCCTATCGTAAAGTGCAAATGAAGTATCGTGTGACGGTTTGTCATGGAATAGCTAGAGGTAGAGAGGGAAATGCTGGAGCAAAAAAAGAGGAAGGGCTACGGCCCTCTGACGAGGGAGGGGCACCGGGGTTCGAACGAGTGACGCGCCTCAGGCAGCACCTGCCTACCGTGACGACAGCAGTGCGGGCATTGTGCGCTGTGGCACCAGATGCACCTGCACTTGATAGGCTCATGGTAGTTTGTGATCCCCTTTACCGTTGTGTTGTTATCTTCTGCTCTAAATAAAGGTGTTCCTTTCGTGAATGATCATGAAACTCTCAATATCGCATCATGGCGTATTTATTGATATAGTTTAGGATAGTACGTATCTAATAGTACGAAGTGCTAACAAATAGACTATTATAAATACATAAGAACTATTATAAATAAGTCATCGGTCAAGTGTCATCATAACATATCATTGAAACTAACTTTATCGTTTGACTTTAATTACTATTCACTTTTACTGTTGCGCTTGGCCGGATAAACGCGTCAACAAAGACGTCATAATTTGAACGCTGAATGTTGATGCTTCGTGTCCATGGTGAACCCTTGAAACAAAATGTGCAGCTTGTCGCCGCTGTCAGGTGAAATTCCATACTTTTCACCTTGACCAATAACAATAGCGGATCTTGTCAATTCTGAGGTCATAAAAGATTATATTGAAAAGCTGTCCTATTTAGTAATCAAAGATGTGAATGAGTTTTTATACTTGAAAGTTTAGTTTGTGAGTGTGAAATTGTATTGTATTGATGAAGTCCAGGACGAGAGAATATTTTGTTCAAAACAATTTGAGAAGAAGGAATTGCATCATTTATAAGTCATACTAATAATAAAA